AAGAGTAGCTGTGCCCCCCCTGCTTGTCGTGCCAGGCAGCGTTTGCCACCACCACCTGTGGGCTGTCCAGCGTGTGAGCACCGGGCAGCCAGCAGGAACCAACACTGCCAGGCACAGCAAGGGGGGGGGGGGGGGAAACACCACAGCTGCTGCCACCGTGTGCAGCCCTGAGCCGGTGCGGAGCCCAGGCTAGCAGCGGAGCTGGGTTACAAGTTGGTGAGTGTGGGGAAAAAAAAAAAAAGTGGCCCCTTGCTCACTCCATAGCCAGCGCCCTGCGCTATAGCTGCTTGCAGCCCACAGGGGGCTGCCTGCGACTGCTCCCGCGTGGGCTGCGAGCACCTGCAAGAGGGAGTGCCAGCCATGGGGCGGGCGAGGAGCCACTTTTCTCCGCACTCAGCACCACTTTCTTCCCTGCCAGCTAGCAGGGCGTTGGGGCCGTGCACTGCCCCCCCACCCCTGTACCACGGGGCACTGGTTGTGAGTGGGCGCGGGAACCAGCAGGAGCACCTCTCCCTGCTGGTGCAGCCCAGCCCAGCTCCACAGACCCCTGCCAGCCTGTGCCCTACTTTGGGCCCCACCAGTGCTGGCCCTGGTCACCAAATTGGTGACCGGGGGCAGGGCACCTATCAAGAGGCAGGGCTAGCCATGTGGCCCTCAGCAGCCTGCCAAAACTGGGTAAGCGGCCCTTTGCCCAAAATAATTGCCTGCCCCTCAGGTAAAGTCAAGGTGGTAAATATTCACTTAACATTAGGTTTTCTATAAAGCCAACATTTAGGTGACTGAAAGCCATGGATAAACATAACATTTGAAGCATTCTGAACCACCTTTGAAACAATTAAAGGTGAACAGATAGACACAGCCATCTTAAGAAGCACTCAACTCCTTGTATGCCTCTCTGCTTCTGAAACCAGGAAACTGAAGGACTATACAGAAGAGCACACTGGGGGAGGGGAAAAAGGAGAGCAGAGTTGCAGAGTAGAGCAAACCATCACATCCCACGACTAGACAGCGTGCCAGAGAAGTCCTTCTGAAGCACTCCAACAGGGGATAGGAAAAAAAAAAACCACACATGGCTGCCCATGGACTGAAGTACACCAAATCTGGAGCACTTCAAACGTGAAATCAGCCAAAGCCTAATTTGAATCTCAACCTCTATTTTCCCAGACAAAAATAAAGCCTATTTACACACAGTTTCCAATATAGAGTACTAACTTTCAAAATCCCAAGGTATTCCTTGGTATATAGGTAATAAATAAATGGATAGCCAAGTGACCAACTTCCAGTACCACATCTTATTATTACAAACCATACCACTGTCATACCTTGCTTAGCCTTGAATTTAGAGCAGATACCCAGAAGCATTCCAAAATTTCAACACAGTGAAAAGACAATACACGAAATTGTCATGTACATTTCACAAAACACTATTTTATCTATAGCTTGTAGCTATAGCAGTGAGGTTACACTCAACCTATTCCTTCCAAATTCAACTTTCAGGTATAATTTAAACTAAACAGTAACCTCAAATCAACTGTTCACATAGTAAATGGCTTGTGCACAGCAACAGAAAAGGACATTCATATTCTAGAGAAGCAGCAGTATTAAAATATGCCAATGAATCTTCAGTTTTAGTCACTGCTTTTGAATCAGTCCAAAACAGACACTTAGATGAGTTATGAGCCAAGAAAAGGAAGAATAAAGCTTGCTACTGTATTTCCTGGTGTATAAGTCAAGGTTTAAAGGGAAATTTTTAACTCTTAAAATTTAGCCTTGACTTATACACTGTCCCCTGCAAGTGGCAATGCCTTTATCTCCCTGGGAGCTCAGGTAGCACGTGGCTTGCTGGCAGCCTGTGTGGCACCACTGTGACAGAGGGAAGAACCAGTGCTCCTGCAGCTCAGGGGCTGCTCAGCCTGTTGGCAGCTCACCCTCTCAGCCACAGAACAGGTGGGGAAGCTGCGCAAAAGGACAAAATAGGCCCCCTCACCACTTCTGCCTTTAGCAGGCTCCTGTGGCTGGTAAGATGTCTGGTGACACCCAGGAAGGGACTGGCTTGCCCCATGGGCAGCAGTGGCGGTGTTCTCCAGGGCTGGCTGGGTGGGCTGCCAGCAGGCCATGTGCTGCCCAAGCTCCCAGGAGCCCACCAGCATGCAAAATCTCTCCCATGAGCCTGCCTGGGTTTCCAGTCCCTTGCAAAGCAAAGACAACTTCTACAACGGATCTACAGAAATCCTAACTCTTATGCAGACATATGGGGCCAACTTATACACTGTGTTGAGCTATACGCCATAAAATATAGTACCAACACCCACATTTTAAGTTTGAGACATTAGAACTGCCTAATAATTATTTATTTGCAAACTTAATTTTATAGTAGACTGAGGTGTTGACCTTCTGACCTCTAGCATCTTCAAAGAGTGTGTCAAAGAACTTTAAAGCCTAAGGAAGTAAGTTTGCTTGTCAAAGCTGTGGGAGGGGGGAAAAAAAACCAACCAACCAACCAAACAAACAAAAAAAAAACTTCCCCAGAAGAACATGCTAACCACTCTTTCAAAATGGTCACGCTCAATTTATGAGAAAAAAATCGAAGTGAAGAGAGCTTCTCAGAAAGTTCAAGGGAGGAAGTCAAACTTATACTACAGACACTGCTTCTTTTGCTCATTCCTCATTTTTATAGTTTCTTCTGGCCCTCTTAAAAATATTAATTTAGATATTTATGCAGCTTCTAGGGCCTAAAATCCTATATACTAAATACAACTTCCCATCCAAATTTTAGATATATTCCTATGTAATTTCCATTAATAAGTACCGTATAAAATAACTTGATATGGGACAACTTGAGATTGAATATGCTTTGTAAATATTTCAGTTACACAATAAAATTGGGGGGGGGAGGGGGGAGGGAAGAGGAAGTAATCTGTTAAAAATACTTAAGACCAGAACAAGTTTCCTCAGGCCTCACCTAGAAGCCATTATGAAGACACCTGAATAAGGTATTTTTAAGAATTTGGCAAGGTGTGAAAAAACACTCAAAAGGAAGCATCTCTCCCTGAAGTCCTCATTAATTTGTATTACACCAAAAATATATGGACATTAACAGCACAGAATTAAGCACTCAGAAAGGGATGATGTAAGCAAGTATAATTAACTCTCTACCACTCTTCAACATGTTAGGAAATCCCAGATTATTCAAAGCTCACAGAAAACCTAGATGTGCCTTCTACACCAGCTCGAGGTAGTCCAGAAGCTGATACAATTGTCTGCACCATCAAATAATCCCCCACAGGCTAATGATCTTTGTATGGTAATCTATACTGGCTTTGGGACTGTTTTGCAGTGCTTTTCTACCACAAAATACAGAATCCAGTGAAAAAAAAAAATCTGTCTTGAAACTGCAAGTACTGGCCCATTGCAGAATATTTTAACCAATACACTTGAAGTAATTTAAAATACTATGGTACTTTATGCTTATAAACTGTCCCCATGATTTAAGTTTAAAAAACCCCACCCAAATAATATAATCTTTCCAGAAACTGTGTAGAACAGGGGTAAGCAGAATGTGGCCTGGCAGGCCATTCTATCCAGCCCGTGGGGCTCCTAAAAAAAAAAAAAAAGCTAGAAAATGAATATTTATCTGCCCCTGGCTGCCTGTCATGCAGCCCTCAATGGCTTGCCAAAACTCAGTAAGCAGTCCTCCGTCTGAAATAATTGCCCACCCCGGTGTAGAACATTAAGTTGTAGCATAGCTTGTTCTACACACTATAGATTTAGTGGCAGAACAGAAGTATAGAATCAAAGTGGGAGAAGACTCAGTTTCTGGTTATAAACACACATTAGCCACTTAAAGCAGCCAGCTGGCTTTCACAGATCAAGTCCCCCATCACTCTAAAAGGCCATAGGCCTGGTAGACATTTGCTTATCAGCAGCTTTTAAAACATGCACCAGATTTTGCTTGTGCTATCACTTCCTGATAGGGAGCTGGACTGCAGCTGGAAGGGCAGGGTGGGAGGAAAGAAAAGACAGAAGAGGCAGAGGCATGGGCAAGTCCCTTCACTGATGCCAGCTACTTGTATTAAACTAGAGCCACAAAGTTCTCATGAAGTGACTTAAAGCTGAAACGCCCTGATTTTGCATACAGCAGTTTTTTCTTCTTTTTTTAAGATACAAAGACACCATAGGAACACAGAACTGAAAGGGGCCTCTAGCCTTTTGTTCTCATTTTTCCTATTGGAAAGCTGTTCTAGAACCATATTCCTGTGAGAGTGGGAAACTTTTCAATTTCCAGCCTACATTTATTAAAGATTTGTTTAAACACCATCTTATACCAGTGCTGTCAGTCAGTTTAAAACATCTCTCTTCCCTACCTTCTTACTCCCACCAGGGATAAACCCTGGTGTTTCTTCTGCCAACATGCTAATGGAAGGACAAAAATCAGCTATCCTCTGAAACTTCATTTTTCTATGGTAAAAAAAAAGTCAGGCTCTCTCTATAATTCCCCTGACCATTTATCAGCTCCTCTTTCACCTATTCTGGTTTAAGTTCATTTTGCTCAAACACAGCAAACCACTTAGTGCACAATGTAGAAAATGAGGTCTCACTAGCATCTTCTGTCGTTGCAGTGATACTTAAATTTTCCATTGGAAACCGCCGAATTTGTAAGCTTTGGGTTAGTTTTTCTACTCCTCTGCTGTTTCTAATTCAAGTAACCAGATTATATCAAAAATTCTTACTTGAAGAGGTGATTTTGCATTTTCTACTATTAAAAAATGAAACCCTGTTTTATTATTCCAGTCCTTCTTACAAGGATATCCAGATCCTCCTCTGTATTAAGATCTTCCAACTACTAACAATGTCTTCTATAATGCAACTCAATCCTCAAATCCAGTTTGAATCTATTCAATCCTAACACAAGATTTTAGGATAGATATTGCACTCCAGTTTCATAAGTTGAGCAAAAAACGGAACACACTGGAACAGTAAGTTTGCAGTTAACTCCTTACCTTGTTCGAAGAGCCACCCAAGCTGCATCAATGTCAGCATACAAGTTCTTCTCCGTTGGTTTCCCAGAACTTGCACCGTATCCAGAATAATCATATGAGAATATGTTGCAGTTAATCCGAGAACCCAGTCCTATGTAAAAACTGCTCATCTGACCTAGGTCAACAGCATTTCCATGTGAAAAGAGCAAAGTGTACTTGGCGTTAGGTGAGCAACGCACAAACATACAGGCAATCCTGTTACCTTTGCTTGTTCTAGTCATGAAGCACTCAATGGCATCTTTTTCTCTAGAGGAATATTGCCAGTCTGCTCGCTCAGAAAGATGTAGAGTCCAACGACTACCACTTTCATCACACATCAGTGTGTAAGTAGGGTCTGGAGGTAAAAATGCCAGTTTGGAAGCAATTTTCCCAGGGCATGGTGGACAACAGAACAGGCAACACAGTTCACTAAATGAAAGATTATTCATCTTCTATTCTGAAATAAGAAAAACAAACAAACACATGTATTATAACTGGAAATGCAATTCCATACTAGAATAAATATGGAATAAAATTAACATGGTACAGTACTATAACTGCAAAAGGATCAAACAACTGGAAGATGGTGCTTCATAAACTTTTTCAGTTCAATTATTCAGGCAACAGTTTGGATTGGAAAGTGTTATCAGTAGAAACCTACAGAATTCAAGATTTCATGATTTTCACAGAAACTGACATTCCAGATAGGCCCTTTGAAAAAGTGGGGAAAAAAAACAACAAAATCACAGAGCAGGGGGGCAAAAACCAAAATAAGAGCTGCAAGCAAAGAAAAGAACAGGAAGCCTTTGGGTCTTGAACTACAGGGGGAGACAGAGGCAGGGAGAAAGAGTTCATAGACTCAGGAAGGGAAGCAGTGGGGAGGAGGCAGCCATGCCCCACTGCCTCCAGCCTATTCCCTATCATTTTGCATAACCCCGCCTCCAATCCCAGCCTTCCACTTCTTTCCCTGACTCTCATTCTGTCATTTGCATAACCCCACCCCCATTTGGGACTCAATCTGCCTCCCTCCTTCCTCATTCCATTATTTGCATAACCCCAACCTATGTAGAGAAAGCCCCACCCCCTCCTTGTCCATCCATCCCCCCCAACCTGCCTTGTGCTCAGAACTGCAGGGCTTTTCTCTGCTTGCTGATGAGTTTACTTATTTTAATTTTTTTTTCAGTGAGATGTTTGGGGATGTCCTGAAACCACGGTTTAATTACCCTAAGGCCAGGGAAGCCATTAATCCACATAATGCATGGATTCATGCCTTCCTTGGGCTTAATCAGGGTAATTAAGCAGCAGTTTCAGGACATGTGGCAATCTGTGGGGAGGGGTGGGATTTCCAGGGCCCCCTGGCACATCAGAGTCATGTGGGGGGGGGGG